TGGAAGGGACCTTAAAGCCCATCCCATTTCACCCCTGCCATGGCCAGGGACACCTTCCACTTGCTCCAAGCCCTGTCCAACCTGGCCTTGGGCACTTCCAGGGATCCAGAGACAGCCAGAGCTTCTCTGGACACAGCAATGCAAAACCCTCCCAAGAGACTGGCTCTGTTTGTTGGAGCGTGGTGCTGAGAACACCATGGGTGTGATTCCATGTTCACTGAAGAGTTGGGCTTGATCCTTGTCCCTTCCAACTCAGAATGTCCTGTGATCTGAAATAAAGACTGATGGATCATGTGGAACCCTCTCATTGACCCTCTCTGGGAGATGGGAACAATCCAAACCCTTTCCTCACAGCCCAGCCCCAGTGAGAAGGTTCTCATTGTGAAAATGCAAGTCCTGATTCCAAAATAACAGTTGGAGGCCTCCTTTGTCATCCAAGGACAATCTAAATGAGTGGAATCATTCCCAGGCTGCTCAAAGCCCAGAATCCTCCCCCAGCTCTGCTGATCTGGGCTGTCCTGTGAGAACAGGACCCAGCCCCTCCGTTTGTAAAGCCAGGGTTAAGTAAGGCCAAGGTTTATCCCTAAATAGGAGAATCTGTCAATCCCTATCCCGAGCCTAAGCTGGGGTTTGTTCCTCCCAGCACATTTATTGCTCTCATGCAACTTCACCAGAGGCAGTTTTCTTGCCATCTCTCAACAAGTGTCTCAAGGGTTGGAGGCATCAGGCAGAACCTGGCCTAGAACAGAACTGACCAAAACTGTTTAGCTCCATTCTGTTTTTTTAAGAATATGTTCTTTTCCACAAAAAGCAGCTGTATAATACATGAATGTTACATGATAAAAAGCTTCAGTGATAACCGAGAGTTCAACAGTCAATTCCTTGGAGATTTTGCTTGCTTTTCCATTAATAACATAAATTATAGATGTCCTAAGTTATAACATTACATACCACTTTTCCAAGGCATTCATGACTTATTTAATCTGGAACTGCATGTTCTTGTTTTTCCATAATGGACATCAAATGCCATGTCAAGACTTTATTAAACTAACCCCCTCCTAAAGGACTTATTTCACAACAGGCAAGTTATTTCTTCATCAAAGAAGATGAGAATAATTGTTGCCAAATGAAAACTGCAAGAAATACATGATTGTTCTAAGTGTTAGAGTGACTATGGTACCAGATTTGAACATAATCCTTAATTGGAAAGTTATCACTGGCCATGAAATACACAAGAACATTTAAGTGCCTCCCACAGTGACCATGAAAATACAGAGACTGATGGTTTAATTAGCAATCCCAGAGATACCAGGCAGTGCTCAAAAGCTACAGCACTCTCAGCATTATTGCTGGGAAGGAGGAGGGACTCCAAACCTTTCCACCAGTCTGTTCAGCCTTAGGCCTTTGCTGTCAAAGGCAGCAGCGATGATTATGGGCTGGAATTACCAGATTATTTTATATAGGCCTTTGACAACAACGCTGCTTCGTAGTGAAAGCTCTGCTTCCTTTCTCCCTTTCAAATGCCTCCCTTTGCTCCAATGCTTATGCAGACTTCAGTCAGAAAGTATTTCTCATTTACATGACCTAGATAGAATAATAGTGAGAAAGATGTTCCTTGATCTTTTTTCTCTTGATTTGCTACATTCAGCCTGGAAGAAAAACACAGTCATGGGAATGCATTGTTGCTTTTATGTTGGCATTAGGAAACAGTGCTAGGTAGGGTGGGGGATAGATCTAGGCAGAAGCCTTGCAATAAACAGGCAGAAAAACACATGGCACAGCTTTAGGGATAACATGGTTTTGCCTATTTTTTAAAAAAATTCCTTGTTTAGTGACTTCACCCACTTGATCCCACTGCAGTGACCCATGGCAGACAGGAATGATGAGGAGCCTGCCAGGGGTGAAGGTGACAGCTCAGTGCAGGGGATGCATTCCATGATTTCTCATTCCAGAGTCATTACCTCAGCAGGCAAACTGGACAACCTGTATAAAAAGGTGCCCTGAACTGACTTGAACTGTGGCTCCAGAAATAGTCTGGGCTCCATTTGGCCTTTCTAATGCTCAGCTGGATCCATCACTGAGTCCCATGGCCTGCCACAGGCTCCTCTCCTGATCTTGCCATGTTCCTGTGACATTCCCATGGGAGTGAGGATAAATCTTTCCAGAAACAACAAAAGAAGAAGCAGAAGAAATCCCCAAGTGGAACCATCCATGGGCTGCCATGCTGAACATACCCTTGGGAGTAGCTGAAGGAACATTTCCCTGGGGTTGGAACAAACCAGGGCCATGTGCACTGATCTTTGCAATGCAGAATGAACCTGAATAAATCATCAGGAAAGAGAGAAACTGAGCTTTTTTTGAGAGCTTTGAATATTTCATTCCAAGAAGTAGAACAAAAAAGTAGATGGTTGTCCTGAAGGTTGCAAAATCCCAGAATACAGGCAAACTGTGACTGGTAATGATGAGGAAAATCACAGGAGTTTATCTAACAGCCAGGGTCTTCCAGCCAAATTATAGCTCCTGCCTGAGCCAGCACCATGAATAACAGTGGGAATAAATGAAAATGCAAACCATCTTTGGGGGGAGGAGCCTCAGTAACAGGACGTGAAACATTTAGAAGGTTCTCATTGTGGAAGTGGAAGTCCTGATTCCAAAATAATAGTTGGCGGTCTCTTTTGTCATCCAAGGACAATTTAAACGAGTGGAATTATTCCCATTGACATTGATGAGCTTTGAATTCAGGCTTCATCCTCTTTCAAAAATATGTCCAAATATATTAAAAAATGTGCCCAGTCAAGCCTGGGTAGGAAATGTGAGACAAAGGGGCATTGACAGAATGTCTGTCAAATGACAGGAATTAGGGAAGTAGTCCAAACAATCATGAATGAAGATTTTTTTGTGCAAATGTTCAAAATACCAAGTCCATGCACAATATTCCTTATCTCAAATTCTTCCATGCTGGTATTGAACCTTAAAAAATTAAGAATTTGAAGAAAGAATAGCCCTCAAACAACTTGTACAGTTTCCAATAGCTAATAGAAATATTTATTCTGAATTCTAGCCCACTATTGCCTAAAAAGAGAAGTATTGTGCCTTTGAGAGCTTTGTCATTATGATGTCCATTGTAAATAGCTATTTAGACAGAACTAAAGCTACTGAAAGTGGTCTCCCAAAACTCAGAGAGGAAGCTGACATGCTGTTCAGCCTTCTTGAAGGAGAATTGATGTGAATCCTTTTGTAGAGAAGATCTGTGCTCTGGGCACTCCAAATACATCATAGAATACTAATCACACTATTTCCCAAAGCTAAAGAAAAATAAAAAAGGATAGAGTGCATCACTGAGCTGAGAATGGCACATCTCTTTGGAGATGCTTTAGTGGGGGGAAAGTTGCCTGTCTGCATCCTTAACTATATAAAAAAGAGCCTTGAAAGGGTAGAGGATAAACTGCCAGGGAGTAGGTTAAGATGGGATTTTAAGAAGACATTCTTCCCTGTGAGGGTGGGGAGGTTGCCTGAGGTTGCCCAAAGCAGATTTGGCTGCTCTTGAATCCCTGGAAGTGCCCAAGGCCAGGTTGGACAGGGCTTGGAGCAAGTGGAAGGTGTCCCTGGCCATGGCAGGGGTGAAATGGGATGGGCTTTAAGGTCCCTTCCAACCCAAACCTCCCTGGGATTCTGTGATAAAGATTCCATTGCTATTTCGTGTTCCCCCATGTGAGAGAGAGAGGAGAGATCTCAGCCTGGGGGACTTCAACCCAGCCCCAGGGGAGCAGAACATCACCATCCTCTTCCCCTGATGTGCCGGGGAAACTTGGAGCAGTGCAGGAGAAAAAGACACAGAGGAAAGATCTCTGAAGAGAAAGGTGGAACTGTTTTGTTCTGCCTTTTTTTCTGGTCTCTGAGTTTCTCCCCTTAACATAAAATAGTGGGGCTGCAGATCCCAGACAAAAGGTTGGAGCCTGCAGCACCTTCTCAGCCACAGGATGCAGAATTTGTGCTGCATGAGGTGCAGAGAGTCACAAATGGGTCCAAAAAGTGCTGTTTGGCACGTCTCACTAAAGTGTTTCACCTTCATCTGTCAGAAGGGTAGTAAACTTCGGGATTAGCAATACTTAAAACATTTTTTTTTCCCCTTCATAACAAAAGGGAGACATAGACTAGTGATCCCAGTACTGAGAGTCAAAATACTTGCTGTACTTGTCTATCCTAAAGTGCTGTAATAGTACAAATTGCCTCCTCAGTGCTGTCATTCTTTCCCTACAAAATGAGCAGCTCATAGGAGGAAATATCCAGGCTCTGAATGTGGCCAGAAAAAAAAAAAAAAAAAAAAAAAAAAAAAAAAAAAAAAAAGAAGAGTTTTCTCCCAGTAGTTTTTTTCTTGGGTAAGACTTTTCATACTGTGTTTGACATTCTGAATTACATGATTACACAGTACAAGACTCCAGCAACATTTCGCATTGTAAAGATGGAGATGCTCAGCATTTTGCCAGATGCCAGGCGATATCCTGACGTTTCTATCTTCACTTTAAGCCGAGTGACAGTCAGCATATTCACAATGAAGCCGAGACAATCTGCTATCAAGTTACAGTAGTGACATTTTCCCTGATGAAGATCCCAGGGCTCGGCGGAATAAAGCAGCTCCGCCGAGCGCGGCGTGCGGAGCGGCCCCGGCGTGGATGCTCCGTGTGTAATCCATGTTTGATCCGTGCCGGTGGCTCGGCGGGCACAGCCTTTGGTAAGTAAGTCTGTACTGCACCATTTCCTGGCTCGGTGCTCCGGGTGTTGCAGGCTGTGTGCAGTGGGGGAGGTGCCAGAGCTGATCAAGCAGTGTAATTTTATACATTACTGAATCAGTGCAGGAGGAACCTGGAGGGACAAAGCATCATCTTCTCTTTGAACTGCACTGTAAAATCCGACAGCTCTCGTAGCCCAGCCATGCTCTGATACAATTTTTCTCTCTTTTTTTGCCCCGATTTTGGTGTGAATGATAAAGTGATCTGATGATGGCTCTCGTTATGGAACCTATTAGCAAGTGGACGCCCAAGCAAGTAGTGGATTGGATGAAAGGTAGGATCGTTTATTGCCATGTATTGTCTGTACTTCGGATCCTGGCAATTTGCATCCGTGCTCTCGCATTCTTTGTTTTGGGAAGAGTTTATTCAGTTGTGATCATCCCTGTGCTGCTTTGCCCGGTAGTTGTTAGAGCCAGGCTGAGGAGAGGCTGCTGGAGCTGGGCTGTGCTGTGGGAATTGCAGCCGACAGCGGAGCAGGGATCAACTGCATTTGTTGGACAATGCAGACGCAAAGTGTTTGTGTCTCACGGCTCCATTATGCCTCGCACAGGGTAGCGCCGGGATGTTTGGCTGCTTTAAATTTGCCCTGATTACTCTGGTTTGCTCATATCAGGTGATCTGATGCAGTGGCTGTGCAGCGCTTGTCTGTAGTTTTGGGTACCACAAGGAGCACCAGGAGCCGGGGGCTGGACTGTGGCATCCTGCTTCTTTAGGGACGTGTCCTGCCCTGTCCAGGCTCCCTCAGGGACGTGTCCTGCCCTGTCCAGGCTCCCTCAGGGACGTGTCCTGCCCTGCCCAGGCTGCCCAGCCGCGTGTCCGAGGCTCCGCGGAGCCGTGGGAAGGCGCAGGGCTGAGCGCGGCTCCGCGGGGAAACTCGCCGGGATAACTTGACAGGAATGATGATTTCCCTGCACATTCGCAGTTTCACAACACAGCCGTCAGCTGTGACATGTTTTGCCTGACAATGCTCGGCTGTGCTGCAAACAGACCGGGATGGATGGGAGGGCGAGGGATTGTTCTGATGATAAGTGGTTTAAATTTCTGCGGGGCGGGGGGAGGATGTGTTCCCACAGTGGGATGCATTAGTGTTGTTATACAGCGCTTCTGATGAGCTGCCTGTCTTTGAGACAAATAATTCCTGCCACGGGGGATCTCTGTTATATAAGGAGAAGAGGTGCAAATTTGGGGTGTAGGTTACTCGTGGAAATGATTCCTCTAATGTGATGACTGAACTTATGGCAGGGTTGAATTGGATGCCCACTCCAATGCCCTTAAAGCTTTCAAAGTATTCTCATTAATAGGGGAATGGCTCTGATCTCATTTTGCTGAGCTACATCTCCACACTTCGCTGAAATTGGGCTGTTTTGGTGCTCAACAGACACGTTGCCATCATCAGCTAATTATTCTTCTACAAGCACAGAGTCTTGTGAAGCAAAAGGTGTCTGGGGGAATGGATGCACTGTGTTTCTCCGGTGTTTGGGAGCTCGGGGTAATTGGGAGGGTTTAAGCAGGTCATTGGGATGGATCCTAAACCTTTAGATATAGAATTGATTCCCAGGCTCCAATGTCATTAGGTGACAGCAAATCCTAATGTATTTGCAGGGGAGTTTTCTGACCCACACCTTCATTCGCAGTAAATAAAAGAGTTAAAAAGTAGACAGATCACTCTGCTAATTTAACTCCTTACTTGAATTATAATGTAAATTAAGTGTCAAAGCATGTAGAATACTTGTTGCTAAATTTAAAATTACTTCCTGCTACTTTTTTATCCTTCCTGATGCAATAATTATGTATTGGGGAACAGTAATCCATGATGTGCAGTGGAGGAAGGTCACACAAGCAGCAGGTTTTTACATGTCTGGAGTTCCTGACAGTTGGATTTCCATACCAGCCTGCACAGTGCACCATCCACAGGGATATCTGGAGTAGGCAGCATTGTCAGTGCTCTGTGTTCAAGCATAAGTAAATATAATGCAGCGAACACTGAAGTATTCACAACGTAGATATTTTCCTTGGCAGCATGAGCTGCACATCCACAAAACAGGAAAGTTGCACATTTATTCGTTTCCCCCACGTTAATATTACAAACCTTCTTTTTATCCCTTTGTAGATGCATTGTTCAGCTGCAGCCAAAGAAAAGACCTAACCCATACAAATGGCAGGCTGGAGTCAGTTTAAAACTACTTGTAACTACCTTACTTTGCAAAAATTGCCCAACTGTGGCCACTGTTTGCCTGTAATTTCCATGTGTTGTGCAGCTCAGCTCTGTTGGCTACAGTCACTCTGCTAAATCCATGTGCCAGGGAGGTTGAAGGTCTGCACAGGCAGAGATTTGCAGTGATAAGGGAGCTTTTATGTAGTTCTTCTGTTCTAAAAGGTCACTTCTTTCAGAGCATTAAGAGATAAATTAAAGACACTTTCAAAAAATTACCACTTTAGGAATGAGTATTATCTTGACTGCAGACAGCAACACGTTAATAAACAATGGAACAAATATTGCTTCTGTAATATACCTTTGGGGGGCTTAAACATATGTAGAAAATTAGTTTTATTTGCGGAGATGGTAAATGATAACATATTTTACAGGGAAATGGTAGCAACATGCTTTTAAAACTTGCATTTATCATCCCTTGAAGCCATTAGAACTTATTCCTAAAATCTGTTAGCAAAGGCCATGTTTTGAAACTAACTAGCAGTGAGTACCAGAAGCATCAAATAACTGTAGAGAAGATGGAAGGAAGCCACAAAAATGATGTTAATGGTTTGAGACCCAGGTCCCCGGAATGTGTCCTGGTTACAGCATCCGAAGAGAGCAGCAGCTGCAGCCTGAGCCCCCCCAAGAGGAGACACCCTTCTGTTCTTTTCCTTTAGGAAATGTTACTTGCCAAAAAAGTAAAAATTGGTAGGCTTTAAGGAACATTGTAATGACAAGTTGGCATCTTGTATTTATCCACAGTTCCTTTCTGGGGAACGCACTCAACTGGAATTCAATTAGGGAACTGCATCTGATGGTGTGGACAACCTGAAAAGCCCATGCAAGTCTGGGGAAATTGATTCCTGAGGCTGTCAGAGGTTCTAGAAGTTTAAACTCTGGATACTTTTGTCTCTATACAAACATATTTTGTTAAGTTTAGCGGATACAGCACTGTGGTTAGAAGGGAAGGTTTCAAAGGAGCTGACGACATTAATTGGGGAGGTATTTTTAGCAACAGTTTTTAGTCGGTATTCTTTTTTTTTCCCCCAAATTTCCAACATTTTGAACATCTCCAAATGCTTTTCAGGTGTTTTCCCTGGTTACAGCCATTTCTTACATAACTCACCTGTTTTCCTGGGGATGTGTTCTATGGACCCAAAATAAATGGGTTTTTTTTAGGAAAAACCTTTGCCTTGCTGAGATTTCCCCATTGGAAAACAAACATTACCCATAAAGCTCCCCAGTGCCTTCAGGGTCAGAGTGGTTCCTAACAGGTCAGTTTTCCCTGGATTAGGTTTAACATATTAATGGGAATAAATGGCAAACTGCCCTCCAAGATCTGCGTCTGGAACGCTTTACCTGGAGATTTTTGTTGCTCTTAGGCCAGGAGCTCCCCGTGAAACTCAGGAACACTTTGCAGGTCATCAGTGAACTCCAAACCCAAACCCATCTATTGTAACCTGCACTGGGCAGGGGAGTCCTGTACAGAGTCTGGGGGTTTGGGGTGCAGAGGGGAGCTAGGCTGTCTTACTGAATTAACAAGAGGGTGAGAGTTTGTGTTTCCATTGGAGGCAAAATCTGATGGGAATTCTCTGTACTTTTACAAGCAAGAGCATTGGAGATGTTGTACTTCCTAAGGGGAGCAGTTTACAAGTAGGTCATTTAAAATGTGAACTCATTTACAGAGAAGTGACACCTCTGTTCAAATAAATACTCACTTTTCAAAGCAGTCCAAGGAAATGAAATGAAATACAATGCCATGAAAAACAGCTGTGACTTTCAGAGAATGCAGTGTTATTGAACAGCTGAAAATTAAAATGGGAAACCAGCTATTCCTTAAGTACCTGTAATAACTCCACACAGAGTCTGTGAGTCAAAGTCCTGGGGACTGACAGGTTTGTCTGCCAAAGCAGCTTGCAGTGGAGCTTTCTCTCCTAATAAATGGTCTGCTGTAGATACTCATTTCACAACTGCGAGCCATTTTTCCCCCTTTAAATCTAGAATTTCTGCACCCTCAACAGGAGATGTAGACATAAAAAAAATAAAAATTAATTCAGTTGGTAAACTGATTAACTATGCTGCACTGATCCTGTGCAGAATAATTATATGTTTAGCTGAAGGGTTTTCCTTAGCATGTAATTCCCTGATTTCAGGCTGGCTCATGAAAGGGAAGGCAGGGAGGGAGGGAGTGGAGAGCAGGGAAGCTGATGACGTGAGAGGACTTGTTAACATTCCCATCACGCCGGGCTGGCAAACCCCTCTCCCTCTCCCTTTGCTTCCCATTGGATCCCTACCTGTGCTGGAGCACTGCCACAGCCAGAGAGCCTCCTCTCTTTGCAGGACACATTTATGAAATCTCAGAACGTGCTGGAAGCACGGCTGGACGTGGTGACCCACGGCACAGGCAGCCCTGAGGGTGTGAGCTGGGGGATGCTTGGCTTCCCTGGTCCCCCCTCCTGACCTCGGAATCCCATAATGCAGGAGTACAATTCCACCAGATGCAATTTGAAACTGGAGTGGATCACTGAGGTCATCCCTTATTTAGAAAAATGTAGGTTTTGTAGCATCTTTTCAGCTCTTTCTGAAGACAAATAGGTTTGGGAGAGACCTGAGCCACAAATGCAGAATTAGAGTTCAATTTCCAAGCTGTTCCAAAGTAAAGGTTTCACTGTTTTCCTCTGCTCTCACCACTTGTACAACTGAAACAAACAATTTGCTCTTGTGGCTCCCCCACTGGATTCCCGTGTTCCACTGGCACCACATTTCCAGTTGTCTATAGGAAGCCACTGAATCAGAATTGGCTGCAATTCCTCCCCGATTTCTCTCACAAGTTTGGGATTTTAATGCTTCTTAGTAATGAATTTTGTGAACAACTCCTGAGTGCTGTAAACTATTTGCTTTTATAGGGTCAGCAGAGCCCACCTCAGAGCTGACAGCTTTGCAGTGTAGGTGCTGAAGGTCAGATTTCAAGGAACAATTCCCAATATTCGGCACAGTTAAGTGTTGGAGTAAGCTGTCCAGGCAGGTTGGGCCATTGCCTTTGTAGGAGGTTTTGAACACAACTGAGGACAGCTCCAGTG